GCGGCATCTCAGACGATGTAAACGTCGCAGTCAAACCTAGTTCATTTGGCTAGAAGGTTCCGACAATCAGTGATACTGTAATCTTGACTTGATCATGCAGTCTCGGGCTCATCTAGTCAACGAAGCTGTCGTCAGCAGCATCAGGCGAGTCATCTGGCTTACACTCCGACTCGCCTGCAGTTTCCGGGGGTATGCCAATGCCAAGACATTCCCTGCGATCAGCGGAAAATCACCAACTCTAATGTCCGGTGGGGAACGCCCAAGAGGAATTGACTTCAGATGATAGCAGAGCAAGTTGTTTTAGGATGAAACCGAGGACCGCATGTCATTGGCGGGCGTCGAGCTGCAAGGACGACCAGCTACAGGAAGCTGGAGAATGATCGCTCCCAGCAAAAATCGGAGGATCCGAGGGTATCGGAACCACAGCATTGGGACTAGAGAAAGCCCGCGTGAGCATGTCGACATCGAAAGGGGGGTTGCTCAAATTCCCCGAAGAAGAGACACACGGAATATACTTTGAGTCGGGAACATATCGCATCCTAGATGGGAAGAAACCGCCAAGGCTGCGACACTGGACGAAAAGCATATATCCAATAAGGGTTAGACAGCCAAGCCTCCGAGACGGCAGTCTCAACCGAGACCATTCAATCCCCAGATGCTTAATTCAAGCTTGACAGAAAGGCGCCATAATATGTTCTGTTTCTAAGACAATCAGAGAGATATTCCAGAGAGCCACACAATACAAGTCTAATAAATCAATGGGTATGATAGAATTAGAATGCTCCAGAATCATGTGGGATTCAGTTTTACAATATTACTGAGCACTCAACCTCAAGTATCGGAATTGCTGTAGGTGGACAATGCGGACAGTGCAGCTAGCGAACAGAGTGGCCAGCGAGCAAAGATCGCAAATGGATTCTGATACTTGAGCAAGAAAAGAAAGTTCAAGAAAAATTTCCGCCTAATCATCAGAAGAACTTCGTCAGAACTCCGTCTGAAACGGTGCAACATGTAACAGAACTGCGTTATAGATGCAGGCTTAAATTTAATCTCAACTAGCAATCCAAGCACCAGCTTTCATGGCCTGAATCTGTCCCAACTCGGAATTCCACTTGAGGGAGTGATCATGAGTCCGAAAATGAGAACGGAAAGAGACCAGGATTGGCAAATCAATCATTTTCAACCCAAATTGCACAGTCGCCACCCCCAAACCCTATCGCTTCTGCCGTAGGGTTCCTGCCGTGGATCGACCATCTGAGCACTATTAGCAAGGGTCTATCTGCGATTAAGAATTTCTGCTTACACGTTAAAGTATGCATGAATACTTTTGTCGTTGAACTCATGGCGAACCTGGTCCATGAGCAGCAGAACTTCTTCCCTCGTCCAGTTCAGCGCCCTCGTGAACGGCGCCATACAGAAGCCTTCCCATCCAGATGTGATGTTCTCGTTATTCCAAAGTCCCAACTCCTTGTGCCTAGGGTCTCTAGGCCATGCGTTGGTCGGCCATCTGAATCGCTTGATGTAGACATCCGTGAAGCCAATCCCCTTCATCAGGTCTGCTAGTCCCACAACATCCCGGAATGGGCGTCCAAATATCGCAGCAGCTTGTTTGATCATTTTAGCTGACTTCAGCATCGCGGAATCTTTCCTTAACGATCCGTCATCTGACGTGGGAATGATGTCGAACTCATTGAGTTCTAGATACCCGCCAGCTTTCAGGTTGCTAGAATTTGTTAGCAAGGCAACAGCGGAAGCCGGCTCCTGACTAACTCAAAACATTTTTGTATGTACTTCTCCCAATCGCCGATGGAAGACGCCATCATGCGGCTGTGGATGTAATCAAACGGCTTGTCATAAGTCCAGGCCTCCTCGACGTCATCTATCACGAATTTCACGTTCGGTCCCACGCTGAAAGCTAGTCAGCTAAAGTATGCTTTAACAGAAGAATCGAATCCAAAACGGCTTGGTGACGTACTAATTTGGCCAGGTTGCAGAAAGATCGACTCCAAAGACCTGGTATCGAGCATTTCTGTGAGTTCAAGTACCATGTAGATCGACTAGAGAGTCGGATCGCTCACCTCCGCTTCAGGATGTTCATCACCAAACTCCATGGCCCATATCCCGCTTCCAGTGCCGAGATCTAGTGTCCGTCCAACTTTTGTACCTCTCTCATTCGGCGGGGCGGACCCAAGCTTGTTCTCAAGCATGAGGAGGAACATGTTGTGCTGCAAGTCTACTGTCCGTTAGTACAGTAGACTTGATGAATCTTCTAAGTCCCAAAACCGTACCGAGCCTGTCTTTCTCCCTTTCGTCGTTGGGGACGTAATATTCTACCAATACTTAGCATAAACATGCTTCAGGTCAAGTATATTCGCTTAGCGCGTACTGCCATCTTTATACTTGTGATATGTTCGTCCGTTTTCGAGGCGGTAATCAAGCACTGAGCTTGCCACACTTGTATTGGATGATGCAATGGTACTCTCAGAGATTGAGCTGACATCTTCAATGATCTGTTGAATCAAACAAATTTTCAGTAAAGGTATAATTTCATCGATCACAAAGCGTTATTGATACCTCCTGGTAGTCTACAACCAGGTCTTCGTTATCGTCTACTGGAGGCATACTGCGGAGTGTTGGGTTCTGCTGGCTAGAAGACCCGGTATGGGCGGCGTTTGTAAGATGAGCCATGGTATTTGGCATTGTAATACGGCAGGCAAGTGGGACTCCTTTTCTCACTCATTTGTGGACTGTTGGTGAGTGTCGCTGGTGTGAAAGGAAGCGGGCTGTTAATATCTCAATTGCAAACACCCACCAACCTTTCCCTCGATTCGTGACGAGCCACGAGATTTCGATTGCTCATTACCCCTCTTCTTCCAAAGGCACAACGTGGCGTACAGAATCATGCCATTTCCAAGATTTCCAGTGGGTATTTGTTCCACTAACGGGCGTTCACGCATATGCATCAATGTGGCGGGTATTGTTCCAACGTCTTGGCCATCTTGCCACCACTTTGGTAAAAGCTCAGTGGCACGAGTGGCTAATAACGGCCAATTATCTTTCGCTACAAGAAGGGTATAAACTTAATTTTCTTGCATTCAAGGCTAGTTGTCACTGAGTGAAATAAGCTCCCTGAATTATTGAGAGAGACTCGTAGGTCATCGCACCTGGGAATGAGCCAGATACGAACCTGGGCATGCAGATTGGTTCCGGCAGCAACATATCACAGTGAGCCGTGAGAGGTCTAGATGACCGGCACGCTTTTAGAATCAATTTGAACACTCTAACATGGGAGTGACAATATTCAAGGTAGTAGCAGAACGGTTGACGTACTAGGAGATGGAGATAGGTGTTGTGGCCTTAGCTCTGCTCATATCAATTCGTAGCAAAATGAACTCGCCCTAGGCCAGACTTTCCTTTGCACGCCTTCTGTAACTCTTCAGAGATATCCCATTGTTTGTCAAACTTGCGGCCTCCAAGGAAGAACCACCTAGGACGGCCTGCGTTTTCCTCGTCAAATGCTTTGCGACCATTGAGCTGACTTGCACCTGGATTTGGCTCACCAGGTGCAAAATACAACATATCTAGAGGCGCTCTCGTTGTCGTTGACGTACCACCAAAGTGAATGTCCATCCGACGTAATGACGGCATCCTATCGACAGCGCCGACAAATGATGTAGCCAAGGCTACAAATATTTCTGGTTCGGGGGTGTATCTAAACCATCTTCCCGGAAACTCGCCATCCTGTCTAGACCATTCAAAATCTGGTTGAAAATCGGAGATGTCGGAGTCATCCGAATCGAAGGCGGCGATCTTCTCGTCATGCTCGAGGCCATACCCACCATCATCAGCCAAGGCCTTACTTTGGTCCCCAGTAAGCAAGTATTTACCGTCGGGTGTTGTTATTGAGCAGTCGACGTAAAGATACTCCAAAGAGGGACAATGGATATCTGGCTGGTTTGCAAGAGACCCAAACGCTGCAGGTGATAAGATCCAGAGTGTTTCCAAGTGTAATCGCCGAAGGTTTGGCAGTTGACACAAGCGGCGAACGCCTAGAGACAAGGTATCGTCTTCTTCATCCTCGCCCATCAACGATTCGACAATGTAAGTCTCGTCCGTGGGATCTTTGTCGTCAACCTTGACCCTGAACTCCATGAGGCTCGGGAACGATGTGTTGAGTAGAGCGCTTCCGAGGGAAGATCTGATTTGCTTGCGGGCACGCGTCAATCGGCGAGTCGGTAGTCTAAAACTCCATTCCATCTTTCTAGCCGATACAAGTGTACTCGAGATGGCGGAAATTGAGTCTGGGTGAAAGTTCCGTCCACCAGGCCCACCGTCAAACTTGAACTCAGACACACATGGCACCTGCGATAGCTTTTCCAGGCCCGAGTCGGATGGTGATAAGAGGCTGTAGTCAAAACGCAGGTAGCGAAAGTGGTCTCTTACTTGCCATATCGGCGCAACCCGGTGATTGTGAGTGTTCTTCAGTTCGCCGTTTTCCTCCATCTCCTCAACTAGCCTGTCCGTTGGCGACTCCACCGCAATTTTCAGGTTGATACCAGGGCCGTACTTTCGACGTTCCCACTTAGCCAGCCGGCCAAGAAAGGTCACAATAGCTCTTGTGAATATCGCGTCATTCTCCGCTGCCTCCTCGCTGCTCTGGAATTTCTTGACACGTTTGTAACTAATCGTTGGTAGAACGATATGGAAGTCGATATGCTGCACATAGGCTCTTTCCTGTGGGTCTAGCAATTCTTGGTTGAATCGAGCGAGGCCCTCGACGGTGCTCGGCACCTGTACCCGTACCGACGGCCCGAAGTCATCAATGACAAAAGCATCGAATTCGGGATCAACGTCCATGATTGAAGCGATATGTCTTTGGGTGAATGATGGAAGAGGGAATTGCCTAAATAGCTCAGGTTTTGCGTATTTCTTGCTCTCGGAATAGTGGGGAGTTGCGTGATCTCTACATGCACAATCGTACCACCCCGAAGCGCACACAGAACCATCTCAGATAAAAAATATAACGAAATGCAATTTCCAACTTCCCAGCCTTGACTATTGTATCCGTATCTGAAGTCATTCATACTACTGCAAGGTGCCTAAACTATATCAGAAAATGAAGCGGATTGTCGATGATGAATAACAATGCCATCAAAGTAGGACGTCTATAATCAGTCGTATTACTCCTCCTCGTGTCTGGCAATTCCTTCAGTTAACCTTATTCTTGTGACAGATAAATACTCGAACGAACGGTGGAAAGGGCAGATCTGAGCGGATCGCTCCCAAATCTGGCAATTTTAGATCAGGTCAGTTGAGTGACTTGAGTAGAGTCCACAGAGACCGACTCGACAGCTTGGCGTTCCCGAACATTGGCCTGCTCAGGGTCGGCGAAAAGAAGATTGCCAGATATCTCCTCCTTTTCCATTTTGGTGCAATCAATTAACAAAATCGATTCATCCCATTGTTCTTGAATATAGGTCCATCTCTGATCCAAGGGGTTTCCGTCTGCCGGCTTATCAAATGCCGGTAGTGGTATATGTTGGAAGACTGGTTCGGGCTTCCCACCGATCGGGCAACCGGGCCGGAACCGCCCGGTGTATCAACCGGTATTTCTATGCGGGAGTCTGAGCATTATCTGCCGATCGCAGGATTCCAAGCTACCTTAGGACGAGAAACCCCATGATTACTATCATGGCTTTCTCGGTTAAACGGCATGCATGTTCAATCGCACTACGAACCGCACACAGAGGCCAGTCGAAACGTCGAGATCGGCACGTCACCAGCCAAGGACGATCCCCCACCGTTCACTACGCCTCCACAAGACCCCCTCTCTGGAGTAACAATGGCATGTACTATGAAGAGACGATCCGAGATGTTCGCTCATGAGGACCACTCGCTCTCGCCGAAGCCGGCACTGGGCTGTGATACTGCTGTACCGGTCTTTGCCGGATTCAAACATTATTTAGAAGTGAAGTTGAGAAGTTAAATGGACTTGTAGCGATAATATTCCAACGCACTGTTCTCATCCACGTCCCAAAAGAGATTGGGATTTTGTCTTCAAATCAAAATGTGGTTGTCGACAAAGAGTCTCGTTGCGGTAGGCTTGCTCAGCGCCTTGGGCCTGAAGCAGCGGGCCACTGCAGTTGAGTTATCCGGCTTCACAAAGGACTTATTCACCGAGTCCATGGACTTCTTGGATAAGATCTATGACCCTGCAGCTGGCTATCTTTATTTCTTCTACTACCCACTTGCGGCAGGAAAGCACGAGACACGATCCTCAGTCTGGTACGCAACTGGTCTCCTGCAGCGTAACATCGGCGACGATGTGGCTCATGCCACCAAGATCATCAAGAACGTAATCCGAGATCAGAAGAAAATTCCCGAGGAACAATGGTGAGTGCCCTCCACTATCAAGAGTCTCAAGATGAATTTTAACTTACAACAAAGTTTTATCCAGGTATGGCGACTACACTGTTTATCCAGAGGAGCCAACTGTTGGTACAGCGGCGTATCCGAAGAGCGTAAGTATCGTTCTCCTCGCGCACATACCAAATCTCGATTGTGATGCTGATCATTTTCTGAAGATTTACAATACTTGGGACCCTAATTGGCGAGGTTTCATTGGCACAACTCTCATCGTCATTTATGAAGAGTTCAGGCATCTTCTTTCAAGCGACGTCCAGGATCTCATTCTTGAGAGCATGTACAACAACACCATCGGAGACAGCTACCGTGTTGGTGGAGTTGATGACGACAACCTCTATCCTTCTTACAGCAACCCGGCCATCATGCGCGCCGTTGCTACCGGATGGACAGGTCGCGCTCTCAACGACTCAAATATGACAGCTGCCGGCGAACTGTACGCCCAAGAGATCTTGGACTTATTTGACCGAAACAACACGCTCTCTGAGTTTAACAGTCCAACGTACGCAGGCGTCAGCATATATTCGCTTACACTATGGGCCAAGTACATGCCGTCTGACTCGTCACTGATGGGCCAGCACGGTGCTCGCATGATCAAATCCATCTGGGACTCCATCGGTTCCATGTACAACGCCAATCTCCGCAACGTCGCCGGACCATGGGATAGGACTTACGGCTTCGACATGAACCAATATGTTGCCATAATCAACATCTACATTTGGTCTCTCGTCGGTAAAGACAGGGCCCCTGGCATCTCACAAACCTGGAGCATGGCGCATGCAGACGACTTCGAATACGCGCCGCTCATCTCTGTTTTGGCACCTTTCCATGATACTCTTGTACCATCGGACGTTGTGGAGAAGCTTAGCGTTTTCCCTGGTGAGCACATGTATGAGACTGCCGCTTTCTCGCCCCCTCACGATTCCGTTCCCCGAAATATCACGACCTGGCTGTCGGCCAACCTCACTATTGGAGCCGAGTCTTATGATGAGGATACACTCGGTGGTCCTCGCGAAGATCCTTCTCAATGGTCTACTGCGGTGGTGCAGTGGGCTAGGAACGATGGCAGCGTCGGCTATGCCGTTCTCCATGGCACTGAAGAGGCTTTGAATGTGGATGTTAGTCCTGGGCATCTCAGCTTGTCATACCCGCGCGGTAATTCCACCAGCATTTTTACATTTCTTGTGAGCTCCAATCCACTTGGCGGGAAGAGAGATATCTCTGGGTTCGACGATCTTGAAGGTATACAAGTTAGCGTCAGTGGCTCGGTGAATCCACAGCCGGAAATTGGATTCTGTGGCCTTGTTGGCGGTACCTGTCCCATTATTCAGTGAGTTCCCTCAATCTCCCAAAGTCCCTCGGAACTTGGTACTGACATCAGGCAGTGGATTTGAATTCTGGAACATTACGTTTGTGATGCCTAGTGACTCGAGTGCAGTTCCATCAATCGAACTCGACATTAAGAGTATCATTGGTTAAGGGTAAGTAGAGCCATTGAAGTAGGGTTGGAAGCATACGTTGTGTTGAAGTACATCTACTACACTGAGACAGAATATGGTTTCTAATTGTTGATGGTAGCGAGCTATTTGAGGACTATTTCTTACTCGACATTGACATCGCTGCTATGGATTCTTTGTGGATGAGTGAAACCTCCACCAAAGAAACTTCTTGTCTGGTTCCGGATTCATTAAAGCCCCACCGTAATCTGACTTGCAACTCGCAAAGACTATGAGGTGAAACTCAATAAAACCACCTCTTGTCTACTGCGCAACTTATCAATATCATAATTAAAACCGCGTATTACTCTTTTTTTGTCCTGTAGTATGTAATCAATGCGAAGCTTTCGGCGGGTCCCGCTGATTAACTTTCAGCTAACTCCCAAAGAGGCCATCAATTACGCCAGTTGAGCAACTGATTCCTATTGCCAAGCTGCTTTACCGCCCGGCGGTCATACATCATTATTCATAGCTCCCACCCTCAAGCTCTTGGGGGCGGGACTCCACCATCAAAGTGGAAGGTCAATGTTCGGCTCGCAACCCACGTGTTCTTCGTGACACCCAATCCCCAAATTCCTATCACAAGCGCCTCGATTACCCCGCGATGAGCGGCAGAACTCCGTTACGATTCAGGATTCGACGCCGATATGCTTACCTTCAATCGGCCGATATCCCCGAGGCGATGTCACATTGGCCCCGTCTGGGAGCCGGTCAGCGCAACCCTCAGCTGCCACGGGACTCAATGACAGGTTGGTGGCTTGGTAGGCGCCCCCCCGGTTCCGAGATTTACTGCGAACTGCCGGGCCTATCAGGTTGCATCATGACGCCATGGGGTCACTATCAGAGTCAGGATGATCACTTCCAACTCCAGACTTCACCTACAGCTGTCATCCGCGTAGGCCGTGGCCGTCGCTGACCCCTCGACGATTCCCTCAAGACATCCAAGAGTTTTGACAACTCAATATCAGCTGCACAAACGGAGACCGGTGCGGGCCGAGGTGCTATAGTGGGCTAGTCAATCTGCAGGACAAATTGGGCAAACTTGCTTCAGCCATCCCAGCTTCCTCTTCGAAGACCGACGTTCCTGGTTTTGCACTCATCTGACTGGTCAATGGCACTGGATGGCAGGCGTCAAGAAGCCATGCACTGGCCGATATGGGGCTCGGGCCAAGCTTTCGAGTCGCACTGCTACACCGTTGGTGGGCACCAATGGTCGATGCTGGCCCTGGCCCTGCGACGCATTGCAAACTGAGAGAGGGACTGAAGCAAACAACGACAGCCAAGGCTTGGCCCAGCAACCCTCCCGGCGCGTGAGGCGCGCCCATCTCGATCATGGATAGGTGCGAAGCTCCCCATAAGGTGGTCGCGGGAGATGGAGTTGAGGGCATATAAAGTAGCTCCTGTTCCCCGACATTCAGCATCAGGAGAGATCTTCAGAGCTCCAGACTCCCAAGCCCGACAAGTCCCTCCTGCTCCTCAAAGCAACCCAGGTCCAGCAGCTGCCATCGTCCCCGAACCGTCGCAATGAAGGCCAGCCTCCTCTTCCTCGCGGCCTCCACGGCCCTCGCTGCCCCTCTCGAGAGCGTCCCCGTCGCTCGCAGCGAGATTGGGTCTTTCCCCATCGCCGAGCTTGAGGCTTACTACAACGCCGCTTACTCCGTCAAGCCCGAAGAGACCGCCGCTCTTAGCCCCGCGATTTCCAAGCGCCAGTACAACGGCGACACCTTCAACCAGCTCACCGATGGCACAGCTTGCCGCAAGGTCACTTTGATCTGGGCCCGTGGCACCACTCAGTCCGGCAACGTTGGTGAGGCCGGCTCCGAGGGACCCGTCTTCTTCAACGCCCTTGCCGGTCTCGTCGGAACCTCCAACTTGGCTGTCCAGGGTGTCGACTACTCCGCAAGCATTCTCGGCTTCCTCGCCGGCGGCGACGCAGCTGGCAGCACCACCATGGCCAACTTGGTTGCTCGCGTAAGTTCAATACCCTTCATGCAGGGTGTTTCTTCAAGCTAACAGGCTCTCCTCAGGCTGTGACCCAGTGCCCCAGCACCAAGATCGTCATGTCCGGCTACAGCCAGGGTGGCCAGCTCGTCCACAACGCTGCGTCCAAGCTCACCGCGGCTCAGACCGCCCGTGTCTCTGCTGGTATGTCTACAGAATTCCTCATCTAAATATTCCAGAGATCCGCTTGCTGACAGCTTGTACTATGTAGTCCTTATCTTCGGCGACCCGTTCGATGGCCAGGCTGTTGGCAGCATCCCTGCCTCCAAGGTCAAGGTTATTTGCCACGACGGCGACAACATCTGCGACGGTGGCATCATCATCACTGCCGACCACAGGAACTACGAGCAAGATGCACCGGCCGCGGCTGCATTCGTTGCTGGCCTGGTTGCGTAAGCCATTGTACTGATAGCATCTCCAAAAATGGGACTTTGGGAGGATTAAGGGAATTACTATTTCTTAGTTCAGGATTCCTGTCATGAGGCTACACCCTACCTCAGTCACTCTCAATGTTAATGACAACATAATATTAACGAGGCGTCACGCGCAAAGAGAAAAACAACATTTGGCACTCGTCTTACCACGATTCCTAAGATGAGTGGTCGTGTTTTTAAGGTGCTAGCAGACTTTCTGCTGCTATCCCCATCCGATCAATTACCTTCCTTACTCGGTCTTCGGCAACATGGATATCCTACCACAGTGAACCGTCCCTAAAGTACCACTTCTGGTTGCGCGAGTAATGATTGACGAAGCAAGTGAAGGTTTGCGAGGTCAACCCCAAAGGCGTCTGCGGCCTACATTCAAGCCGCTTGTTTCCTGCCCACTTTGAGATCAACGCATGTGCTTTCTTGCTTTAGGATAGGTGATATAATTTACCTGCTCCAGACCAATAGTCAAATCCGTTACTTCTGATGGTAGTAACTCCGCTACTCTATTATCTTCTTGAGTTTGATGATAGTAGCGGGTATGATAGGCGTACAACGAACAGTCCCTCAAGTACTTGAGACGGAGTGTCGGACTTGGAGGCCAGTCGTTGTTGCGGCCGAGTTCCGCCTTCATCGGCCATAACGGCTTTCTCGGCTGCATGCCTATATGCAGAAGAAAGGGAGGAGTACCCTTAGCTCAAATTTGATTCTATTCTCGGAGCATCCGGGTCTGTTGAATTATCACTAAAACTCTCTTGATAAGTACAATTGCGGCGCGGTTGGCTGCATGCACCTTTCTGTTCTCTCGGCGACGTCGATCACTTGTGCGGCGTGCCTACCCGTTTGCCCACCAGCCTCGTGATACAAATACCACCGCTATCCTCAGACTAAGAGGCACTGCAGCGCGGGAAGCTGCAGCACGCAACTTATCTCTTGCATGTTCCGAATAGATTATGGACATATAGATGATCCTCGGAAAACAGGACTATTTGAGAATGGTCTCGGAGGTGTTGGGTCGAGAGCTGAGCAGACACGGAAGGGCACAGGACAAAGTTGGGTGGGTACGGGCATGCAGGAGAACTTGTTTGGCCTTTGATAGAAATATCTAGGACTCCTATGATGCCATCGAACCCAAAAGATAGCTAACTTGGGCAACTTACGTCTATGTTTCTCCGTATGAACCCCTGGACCAACATGCAGCTCTACGCCGCAGCCTGCCAAGATACCGACCGCCTGACTATCAGCTTGCTTTTCCGCCTTGCGCCTGTAGACTTGATCACCAAGTACTCTTTACGTTCCACGGAAGCCTCCTGATACCCGTGATGTTTGTCACACGATGCGCAGGCCCAGCCACAGTGACGGGGCGGCCAAGCCTACTCCGCCCAACCAACAGCTTTGTCTGCTCCAACATGCATATGCAACTCAAACTCATCCAAGCTACATGGCCTCCGAGGCTTAAGGGAGATTACTCGGTTTCCCGACAACGCAATACAGATATCCCTGCAGAAATTTCTTCTAGACTAAGAGGGAACTTCTATTTTGCTTCGTTGGCCCGCCCTCTCGACCCCCTCCTGGGATTGTCAAAGGACTTCACCCGTCTCTCCTTTCTTTCTTACCAGCCGTCGATTGTTATCTGGTAATTGGAATTTTTACTCCGACGTCACTATCGACTTTCTCTATCGAGATGCGCGTCGGCATATTCTTCTTAGTTATTCTCTCGTGGGTAACATGCGTCAGGAGCCAATACCGGCGCCTTTACTGGTCGACGGACCCTGAATTGGGGGCCAATTCAAGCTCGTTTGGCCCAGATGGACCATGGCGAGCGATAGGGCTTTCGGACACGCCGGGGTCTCTTGATTACTGGTCTATTGCTTACTTCCTCTGGCCGACGGGCTCAACAGACAGCATGATGATTTCTGTGGAAGACGGAGGAAACTACAACGGTACTGCATCCAGAGAAAGCGTCCTCAAATCAAACGCGAGCGCTGTCGCACTCATGGATGACTGGCCCCTCGGACTTGACAAGAATGCCATGAGCAAGCTATATCGCCAGCGCACGAACCTGCTTTCACGCATGAACGACGTAAAAAGGAGTTATTGGGCCGACATTACCATCGACATTTACAACCCCAATCTGTACCCGACGGCATACTCAAACATCTCGAATGAAACCGCACCCGTCGGAACGATTGGCTTGGGCGATGAGCTTAGTTACGACCATACCAATCCTAACTACATTTACAGCATCACCGACCAAATGACGTCGGAAAACTTCATCGCCAATAGCTCTTGGTACATGCATTTGGGAAGCGTCGCATTGGGCCAGACAGGGTCGCTGATATTGGGGGGCTATGAAGAAAACCGTATTCTAGGAGACGTGGGGACGTTTCACCTAGATTCCACTCTCCCTCGGGTGATACTTGTGGATGTACTTCTCGACTTCGAAGCAGGACCATCGCCATACAACACAACCGTCGGAAGCGTATGGCAAAGCGAAAGTCTCCCTGCCGCCGTACAAAGTATGGCCAACAAATACGGTGGCCCTGCGGGGTCTGCCTTGGTCCTGCCAAATGCGGCCGCCCCTTACTTGTATCTTCCTCCGGAAGTTTGTGAGGCTGCTGCTTCTCACCTACCCGTCCGCTGGGTGCCGGAAATCGGATTGTATGTGTGGGAGTTTCACTCAGATCCGGTCGGCACCACGCGCTTCGTCAACTCTCCGGCCTCCATGGCCTTCGTGTTCACAGACGAAAATTCCCGAAACATCACTATAAAGATTCCTTTCAGGCTATTGAATCTCACAATAGATCGTATGCCCGCCAGAGAGAACTATGTGAACTGGGGGGTGGATACTTATTGGCCTTGCAAACCATGGACTGAATCGGACATCGTGGCTTCCTCATCACTGAACCGATATACGTTGGGTCGAGCTTTCCTGCAAGGTGCTTTTACCGGTTTCAACTATGACCGAGAGCGATTTTTCATGGCACAAGCACCCGGACCAGGAATGTCAGAACAGCTCATTGTTCCGGATAACTCCCAAGACTTACGGTCGAGACCTGCGGATACCTTTGTCGATACCTGGCGGGAATATTGGACGGAGCTTGAAGTAGCAGCCGGAGGGACTGGCGGTACTGGAGGAACACCAGGCACGACACCCGAGGCCACCGGCGACAATTCCACTCCCACAAGCGGCTTAGGAACGGGCGCAATAGCAGGCATCGCGGTCGCGGCGGGATGTGGCTTGGTCGCGTTAGTGGCCTTGCTATGGTTCTTCTGCTGGCGGGCTCGGAGAAGGAGGAATTCCGACGAAGAACACAAAAACGAAAATGGAAGCGGGCGTGGTTTACATGATGCAGATATCTTCACTGGTGGCAAGGCTGAAATGGATGGAAAAGGGGTGCCAATATCAGAACTAGAGCACCATGATCGGAAGTCCGCTTTAGGCGAGCAACAACCTCAAGAGTTACCGTCGCCTTTCAATTCGCCGATGAATAGCAGCCCTGGTTTCAGCGACTTGGTTTTCGAGTTACCTGACGGCAACTGGGGTCGTCATGAGAAGGGAGAGAAGGGAGATATGTCAGAGAAGAGAGACGGAGACAAGAGAGCAGAGTAATGTGAAATAGATGGATATTGCGAGGTGCAGGAAAAAAGACCAACTTTTATTTATCATTTCCTTTCAGAATGCCCTGTCCTTTTTGATACCTAATTGAAAACAACCGTCTTGGTCTTGTTGAGGAACACGCGTCCCTCGGCAGTCCACTTGACTGCGGCAGCCAGAACCTGGCTCTCAATATTGGATCCCTCCTCGACAAGGTCCTTGGGGCTCATGCAGTGGTCAACTCTAGCAATGCGCTGCTCGATGATCGGGCCCTCGTCCAAGTCGGCCGTAACGAAGTGGGCCGTCGCGCCAATGATCTTGACACCGCGCTCGTAGGCCTGATGGTAGGGCTTCGCGCCCTTGAAAGATGGCAGAAAGGAGTGGTGGATGTTGATGATTTTGCCGGACATGGCCTCGCACAGCTTGGGTGACAGAACCTGCATGTAGCGGGCCAAAACGATGAGCTCAATATCGTTCTCCTTGACCAGGCGCAGGATAGCCTCCTCCTGCTCAGCCTTGGTGTCCTTGTTGACAGGCAAGTGGTGGAAGTCGATGCCGTAGTTGCCGGCCAGGCCCTGGTACTCGTTGTGGTTGGAGACGATGAGGGGGATGTCAATGGGCAGCTGGCCCGACTTTGCGCGGAAGAGGAGGTCGTTGAGGCAGTGTCCGATCTTGGAGACCATGATCAGGGTGCGCAGCTTCCGGGCGACGGGCCGGATGCGGTACCAGTCCAGCTGAAGATCGGCGGCGAGGGCGTCGAACGGGCCCTTGAGGTGCTCCGTCGACTCGGACTCGGTCGGCCCAAAGTGCACACGCATGAAAAACTTTTCCGATACGGGGTCGGAGAACTGCTGGAGGTCCAGGATGTTGAGCTTCTCGGCCGCAAACACCCCCGTCACGGCGTGGACGATGCCGGACTTGTCCGGGCACGAGAGCGTCAGGATGTGGTCGTGAGAGGCGGGAGCCATGTTGAATGTCTGATTTATGGGTTGGTTGATTGGGTTGAAAGGGGGCGTTTGGTCGAACTTGAAGGGATGTTGACTCTTTCTCACTCAGAAATTCTCATTAGTAGCCTTTGGTTTTCTCACTCCTGAAAGCGATGAGTCAAACACTAAAAACAGCCGCGGGGCACCAGCTCCGTCTCCAGGGCCCCTCCGACCTCGGGGATGTCTCGGAGACCCGCAGCTAGCTCAACTCATTTTAAATGAGACGTTTTCAGTCATCAGCCGTGAGGGTTATAAGAGAATGATGATTAGCAATGGAATAATGTGATCAGTCTAGTTAGAATGAGAAAGTAAGAGTGAGCTGGGGGGATTAAGAGTAAGCTGGAGTGAAGGGTAAGAAGAGATGGGATGGGCAGAGGATGAGACCCTCAACTGCACGTCTTATTCGACTCAAACGTGCGCCTGTGCCTGCGCAGGCATGCCACTCACATGCCCCTCACCAGCGTCGCATTTCACAGAGGCCCTCCATGGATGCGCCCTATCAACCTCTTATTCAGACTGCCGACATTAACCACCATCTTTCATATCGAAAGTTTGGCTTTTCAATAAACCAATTGTCGCTACATGGATTTGCGGCCGTTGCGCCAGTACCAAAGACACAGTAGTTAGTGTCATCATGGGATGCTGAGATTGGACCCATGCGTATGCATGAGGCCTCAGCCTGGCTCAAAACTGCCCATAATACATTTCTGAGTGGGAGTCAAAACATGATCCTTGATAGTTCCTAGATCCGTGCGATTTTGGGTTACTAAAGAGGTACTAGCAGCTGGCAATATTCTTGGACATTCAAGTCGGGTATTGCGCGTCGGGCGGATTAGACATAATCTCGACCAACATGTACCATGTTGACTGCTCACATTGCCCGCCTGTCCTCGGCATCTTTTGATCTCCTAGAGCTAGATGAACAATTCTGAGGATCTTTCATCGTGCTCTCGGACACAATCTGTCGTTATGGCTTTGTTTCAGAGCATTCCAGCCTGGCCTCAGACACTTGCAACAGTTGGCGGAATTGGCAATAGCGGGTTCCAGCGGCGAAACAGGGTTTATCATTTTCTTTGTTTTCGCTGTTTAGCCGACCTGTCAGTCCTTGTCTTACCGCCTCAATTGCCTTTCCAATTGGGCGTCAACTGCAGTCAGGCCACAAAGCTTGCCTGAGACTTGCACAAAGCCGGTGTTCATGATCATTTGGTTCAGCCATAGGGCTGAGGATTCTCAGCGTAGGATCTCCCGGCCATCCGCGGACAAGGTCACATCACAAGACCCTCGGTGTGGGTAGGCATCCTTATCGTCCGCACTATCTTGCAATACGATTTCAACTGTGCATGTGGCACAGATGCTGTCCGATACTACAGGTTTGCTCTGAACCAGAACAGCTCTTTCTTTTGCGTCATCCACTTGATAGGTTTGTCTTTCCCCATGATATAAACAGACGCCTTCGTAGAACTTTCTTCTCTGTTCAGCAAAGTACATGGGCTACCCAACGGTACATGTGTGTCGCATTCCGATAAGGGCAGTCTTGTGTGTCATTTGACTACATGCAACCAGTATTACCGCGTGCAAGGCGTCTATGGCATTGATCCATCTGAAGCCTAGACCTTGCATATGGGTTCACGAATCAAGGAACAGGGATGATCTGTTGACGATGAACTTCTGGCTGGCTTATCTGCGAATAGCTTGTCATCTTGATTCATTAGCTGTGGACTGCTCCGCCTCGTTGTCTGCCAAACAGTGTTGTGTCAATGATATTCGACATATGAATGTCGCACTTCCAATCAGATGGTAACACTTGCGAGTTTGCAAAAAGTTCATTCATAAGACTGGGTAGTGCATGCTATGAGTTCACAACGTTTTGAACAGGCCGGGAAGCAAACAGTACATGTAGTTACTACATGTTCCCAGGCACACGTATGGAGTTCCGATATGGCGCTGACGCACCACAAAGACGCCCCGGTCGAAGTTGTTCAGTATTTCCATGCGGGCCAGAACGGCATGCAACCACTTCAAACGGGCCATTCGCGAGGCGTTTCTATGCCTCTTGCAGCATCAGGCTACACTAGCCCAGCGCACAGCTGTGCACACAACTACACGTCCACAAGGCTACATCGGTCATCGGAAAGTGACGCACTCGTTCGCTGTCATATAAAAGTTCTGGGTCCCAGTTCCTCACTTCTGTCCAGCTCATATGTAACGCGCCTCCAAACACATCCTTCCCACCAACCTCGGGCCACGATCTCTATCGCCAACACCTACGAAAATGAAGCTCGTACATTGCACGACCAGAAAGGTAGAAAATCACATCTTCCCTTCAATACCTGACTATGCCATCTTATCTCATGTTTACTCGACCCCTGGACATGATGAGTGGGATGCATACGATTCGGCTACCTTGCCAGATAACATAAGCCGCAAAGCAGTCATCGACAATGCATGTCTCCTTGCACGCCAGAATGGTTTGGACTACATCTGGATCGACTCATTGTGCATCGATAAAAACTCATTTGATGAGGTCTCTCATGCGATCAACTCCCTTTCGGAATATTTTCAAAATGCGCACATTTGCTTCGTTTACCTATTCGATCTGCCCTGCTGCCCACCTTACGAATGTGAAAAAACCTGGAAAGAATCTCTGTTCTGGAATCGATCCTGGAGTCTTCAAGAACTACTATTCCCCAAGAGGATCTACTTCTATGACTGCAATTGGCACCTTCGAGGGGACACTTCTTCTCCCGATTTCCAATCTTTCTTAGAGCGTGTCACGGGCATAGAAGATATGCCCCGAGATACATCACGACCTATACATTCTTTTTCAGTTGCACGCAAGATGTCTTGGGCAGCAGGAAAGAAGGATACTCGTGGCGAGGATTCGTCATACGCTCTTCTTGGCATCTTTGGCGTCACCTTGCCAATCATTTACGGCGAGGGTAAACAATTAGCGTTCCGGAACCTTCAGGGGGCAATTCTAGACAAGACAGGCGATATGTCGTTGTTCGCTTGGACCAGCTTCGACGGTTCGATACCTCGCGGCATTTTTGCCAATTCAGCCGATGAGTTTGGCTGGTTTGGGAAGACGAAACTTGCCGCTGTCCCTTTCAAAGACGCCAGAACCATCGCTATTTCTAGGAGTCGCGACGGGGTCGTAGTGGAAGGTAATTGCATTGTTGAAAGCGAGGACACCATCTTTCTTGACCTTGGGAACGGAGCACGCTTGCGCAGTTACGACTTCGTATTCGCACAGAGATGCGGCATCTTGATCCGCCGAGGCGTTTCTGGAGTATTTCATCGTGTAGAGCCTAGCGCGATACAGACAGCCTCTGCAACTGAGCGCGCGAAATCCATGCGAATCACGGTTGATGCGGGTGACTTCACCAACGGCGCTGTCAAAGCGACTCGATTCAATCACCTACGAAACTCGAAGACTCGCACACAGTCGATTAGCAACAAGAACACTGTACTTTCGATAGACGGCATTCCTACTCAGAATAATCCCTCAAATACCGGGAGTCCTTTGCAGCAACGCGCCCCCGTCGACGATTCTGAAAAGAATTGTGCAGGTTCGATGCGTGAAGGAAAGTCTCCAACGAGCGAACATCAACGAAACCAGTCCCAGGAAGCAGATCAGACATCAGTCAAGAAAGAATGCATTCTTGATGCTATACCAACTGGTCTCGATCCAGACACTTACGTCGAGCCATCGTCCGCTAGGGCTGTCACCCCAGAATCTCTTGACGATAATACCGCTGGCAGTTCCACGAAGGCGGCCCACGCGACATCAGCAAAGCAGTCATTTGCTAGTCACAGAGCTCTTGCGAATGACAGAATAGTTGTCAAAAGTCTAGCTAGGAAGGCACATCAGAGTTTCAAGACATACCAGCACATTGTCAATCACGACACAGGAAGGGAGAAGCGACGAAGCAAAACAAACACACTTCCTACCACTTCGCGTAGACGCGGGTCACGTAACTCACAACGAAGAGACATTCGCGCTCGATCTACCGAATTTGCATGTCCCTTGTTTGTCGAGAACCCTTGGGAGCATCTTCAATGTCTGCGAGTCAATGCTTTGAATACGATGTCAGATGTCAAAGATCATATTTGGACGGCGCACCGGGTCCCTTACAACTGCCCAGTATGTGCTCATACATTCTGCAGCGCTAGTCTACGAGACAAACATATTATCGATCGTGGGTGTAAACCTTTAGGCGAAGCTGTTCATGGGGGTGTGACAGAGGACCAGGATTGTCTCATTTCACACACTCAACAGCTTCCTGGTCGCAAAAAGCAATGGTTTGCAGTCTGGAAGATTCTGAATCCGTCAACAACTCAACAGCCACCCAAGTCTCCTTTTCTGAGCGACACAATGGGATCTGAGGTGGCCTATTTCAAAAACTTTTACCAATCTTACAAGCTCAGAGGAAAGAAAGCCATCGGAGTAGAAAGTGAAAGTCTAATCAGGCTCGATGAAGCGGTACTTCGGGAGGTTATTAATATTTTGGTGGACGAAATGTTAAAAGCACCCGCCAGGCTTAGATTGCTCCAAACTTAGTTGACACTGGTGAAATACCAGTAGTTGCCATAGTGACTCGGAAGGTTGTTGCAGAAGTCAAGGCTGGATTCTGACACAACCTGACACATGGTATCTTGCTTCGATATGTAGAATATTTTAATCCTGAAAAAATGGAAATAGTGGTTGCAGCTCAATTCTAAAGAACACACACAAAGATGTCAATACTACAAAGCCTCTGTATGTATTACTCGTGAGTATATGCTGGCGGTGATACCCTCCGTCCAACTTGGTCTCACATTTTTGCCACAAGTGATGAAAATTCACAAACTACATTCGTCTTAAAGCTACGCAGATCAATGGTTATTTTCATGCGAAAATCGAGAGAGAGATGATGAAAGGTCGGTGGCAGAAGTCCTAGTCCAAGTAAAGTATTGAAGTATTGGGACCTACAGAGCTACTCCAAGCTATCAGACTTGTGTCACTGACAAAGTTAAATATAGAGTATAATCGTCCCAGACACGGATCGAGTACTAATATTTTGGCGATAAAAACGCGTAAATTTCTTGGTTCGGCGTTCGAGTACATCACCAGATCAAATGTCTTGTATTAAGAGGATTTCGATTTAGTTTTCCATCCCTCTGGTCAAGTTTCGTAATTTCTCTGTGTTCCTTCTCGATCTCAGAGTTACATTGTCCGAGTCGTCAATCTTTACAGGAGAAGATATTATTGTATCACCAAGCTGCCACCTCTCTTGGTCGTC